AGTTATAGTCATCATACTATAGTTGAGCAGCTTCTGTTATTACTGTGGTTAAAGGAAAAACTACAGGTTAACAATATATTGACCAATCTCTAATATTACCATTATTGCATCAGAAATTGGATTACACTGTTCTTTTAAAAGAATTAATGTGGCACCTTCAAATGGCTTTAAGAGTTGACAGAAGGATTCAAGCACTACGAACTCTTCATTTTCTAAACAAGAAGGCATGGAGGATTCTTTTGAACACATCTCATAAATGGCCGGATGTAGATAAATATATCTCTCAAACATAGCTAACGTAGAGTTCCAACACATATCTACTTCAAGGATAGGTAGCAAAGGCCTTATTCTAGAAATTTGACAGTATAATTCCAACATTTCTATTCTACCACTAGATAAGAGATTCGATAAGTATTTCATAATTTTATGAACTTTCTCTCTCAACAGGCTTATTTCCTTTAAGCCTTTTTTAACTATAAGATTAAAGATGTGGCACATGCATCCTAAAAAAAAAAGAATTTAAAAAAAATTTAAACCCAAAATTAAAATATTATTATTATTATTATTATTAATTAAAAATTAAATAAAAAAAAGCAAACCTATTGATATTAATTCTTGATTCTGCAATTTATTCTTAAGCAACTGACCTACAGCTTTATTTGTAGTAGTGTTATTCATGGTAAGTGTGAATATTTTTTCTTTAATATTATATGCTTCTAATGTGGTTATTATTGTTGATAATATATCCTCTGCTGTTTGGCCAGATTTTTGGAAACTTAAAATGATATTGACTACCCTCCAATCTTCACTAATCCATGACCCTGTAACAACGATATAATGGCACCTATGAATGTTTGAATGCCACCTGTCACAAGTTAGTGAAATTCGTCTGGGAGACTTTGCTAGTAAATTCTTGACAAATTCCAATCTTGAATTGAATATATTGCCTGTAAGGTGCCGCAATATTGTCATTGAATGTAGAATTTTATATGAATTTGTAACATAACGAAGATTTCTGGCCACTTGACGAAACAATAGGTTATCAAGAATACTGAAAGATATTCCAGTACTAACAACCAAGTCAATGATTGACTTATCTATTTCTTCTTTTGTAACCTGCCGAAATACATCGATTTGAGTCTCGGATAATGAAGATTGAGAACATTTCATAGTATGTTCTTTTAAGTGTGTTCTACTTGTTTTTATAGAATACGTCTTTGTTTCACAATAGAGACATTTTCAAACTTTTTGATTATTATGTTCTTCATCAATTTTCCAATGGTCCTTAGTGGAATATGTATTACAGACTATTTTTGTTCCGGTTTCAGTTGGTGTTAAGATGCTAGAAACAGCATCATTAGAAGATAATGTCGAATCTTCTATTATCAAAAAATAAATTTAGAGGAAATAATATAAAGTAAGAAAAAAAGAAAATATAAAACAAGTAAATAAAGATGATATAAGACAAGCGATTTAATGCAAGAAGATAAAAAAGCAATATAAGATAAATATAAGGTATGCAAAAGAATTATGATGCTATTTATACTTTTCCATCCTTTTTTAAAAAAATTTACCTCTAATACAATCTATTTGGTTTTGAACTGAGTATTTAATTTATTTGACTTGGTCACTTATTTGAATCATATATTTTATTTATTTAATTCAATTACTTATTTGATTTATCTATTTTGCTCAGTTACTTATTTGAACTGTGGTTATTTGATTTATTGGACCGATCACTGAAGATATTTGGCCTATTTGACTCAATCAATTATTTGAATCATGTATCTTATTTATTTAATTCAATTACTTGATTTAATTTACTCGGTTACTTATTTAGCTCGATCGCTTATTTGATTTCATGTATCTTATTTATTTAATTCGATTACTTGCGTTATTTATTTTATTTATTTAACTTAGTACTTATTTGAACTGTAGCTATTTGATTTATTTAACTCTACTGCTTATTTGAACTGTAAGTATTTGACTTATTTGACTTGATCGCTTATTTGATATATCTTATTTATTTAATTTGATTATTTACCTAATTATTTCTTTTATTTATTTAACTCGATTACTTATTTAACTTGATCGCTTATTTGAATAATATATTATATTTAATTCAATTTATTTATTTATTTTATTTATTTAACTTGGTCACTTATTTGAACTGTGACTATTTGATTTATTTGACTCAATCACTTATTTGAACTGGGCTATTTGATTTATTTGACTCAATCGTTTATTTGAACAGTGGGTATTTGACTTATTTGACTCAATCGCTTATTTAATTCCTGTATCTTATTTATTTAATTCGATTACTTGATTATTTTATTTTATTTTATTTATTTAACTTATTTGTTTGAATTGATTATTAAATTTATTTAACTCAATTACTTATTTGAACTGCGAGTATTCTTGGCTATTTATTTTACTAATTTACAGTAACTCAATTAGAAAGATACTTGAGAATTCCTATTATAATTATTTATGAATGTTTAATTTTATTATTTAGTATTTATTATTTAGTATTTAACTTAATTATTTATTTCTGAGCATTCTCAAGTATTACTTACTTATTTAACTCGATTGATAATATAATGTGTATATTATAATTTATTATCACATTTAATATCTTTAAGTATATATATTATAATATTCGCAAAAATTATATAAGAAGTGAATTTTATTTGCTTCAAAAAGTAAAGTTCTAAAATTGCAGATTTCATTATCAAATGCTATTCAGGACCCCGTGTAAACAGGGTTCTGTTTATATAATTGGATATTAAATGCTATTCAGAACCCTGTGAAACAGAGTTCTGTTTACATAATCAAATATCTAATGCTATTCAGGACCTCATGTAAACGGGGTTCTGTTTACATAACCCGATATCGAATGCTATACAGGACTTCATGTAAACAGGGTTCTGTTTACATAACATGATATTGAATGCTATACAGGACCTTGTGTAAACGGGGTTCTGTTTACATAACACGATATCAAATGCTATACAGGACCCCATGAAATGGGGTTCTGTTTACATAATCTGATATATGGAGTAATAAAAAGAATTCAAAGTAAAGGATGTGACCAATCATTCAAGTGACAGATAAGCAATTAATAATAAGATTTATTATAAAATGCTTATTTGTCACATGGGTGTGTATAGGGTGGGTCGGTTATGGTTATGACCAGTCAATAACCAGTCATAACCGTAACTGATATCAGTCTTTCATAGGTTTGTGACCGACCGGTCAAAATCCTGACCGATACTATTTTAGCGATATTATTATGCAATAATAAGCGATTTGAAAATAATAAGTTTAAATTATTTTTTCTTAATGTTAATCAGATCTAGTAATTATATGCTTAAACAATATAGTTTATAAATCACTTATTTGAAAAATAAAATTCTAAAATTAGATAATTAATTAAAAAACCTTTTCATAAGATCCAATAAATAAAACCTTACTTTATTGAGAATTGAACCTTTATCTGAACTAATTTTAATATGCAAGTCATCACTATAAATT